GGGTCCTCCGGAGGACCCGGCCTGTCGTTTTGGACACAGCCACCGTAGCAACTCCTTTGCGTTTGGAAGCGGGGGGGTGGGGGTGGGGGGAGGACCAGGGAGGATGATTCAACCACTCAACCACTAGATGTTGCTGAAAACAACAAATCCTACACACTGTGCCTTTAAGGTCAACCATAATGCTATGTTCCTTGGTGAAAATTAGTTTGCTGTAGCTTGGTTAGAGAGTTAAAGATCCATTTTCCGAAACACAGCCACAAATATGTTATGTATAGGCTACACATATGACACACTGTCTTCTTTATGTTACCTGTGGCAGTGAGGAAATGCACAGTTTCCTGGTGGTCTATCTTTCTTAGGTAGTGGAGGAGGAACTCCAGGGAGCAGCTACGGTCTGCAAGCCAGGACAGGAGTGTTCGTGCAGGGCTACCTGCAGGGCTCAGCACCTGAAGGGAGCAACAGGTCAGCTCCTTCTCACTGAAAAACAAAGAGATTAGTGTCAGAGGAGACAAAGTAATAGAATTAAAAAAAACAACGGCATACAGAAATGTACCATTGTACGGATGAAAAATGTAAACATAAAATTAACAAACAGTGCTGTCCGAACAGTTGTAATAACATGTAAAGCTCCCACACGATGCGTTCAGGGTCCTCACCTGCAGCGGAAATGAGACTGCTCGGCCACAGCGCTGGCCAGCTGCCTCCACCCGCAGGTGGAGTTGTCCAGCATCTTCGACAGCCTGTTCAGGTCTTCTCCACTGAGGCTGCCGATGCTCATTTTCCAGTTCTCCATCCTCGGGTTTACTTTTTCCCGACAAACCAGAGACCCTACAAAGACGCAGGCGCAAAAAGTTCCACTTTATGCGCTAAAATGAAGAAGAGATTTATGTCGTCTTTCGACACCACAATTCAGGCTGTGGCCAAAACAAAACAGAGAAGTGATTGTTCTGTCAATGAACGCCTACGAGCTGGATACTCCACAAAACTACAGATTTAAACACAACACTGCACCGGGTTCCCCCCCGCACGCAAACTTTATACAAACCCGCCTAAAATCGAACTGTGAAATCATTTTAAACGAAGCGAAAGCGTGAAAAACACTGAATTCAAAATAAACTAAAACAACACGGAGGTCGATTTTTTTGCAACCTGAGCAGTTTCCGCTATGAACAGTTCAGAAACCGTGTGAAGAAAACAACTTACCAACGAGTTAATAAAAGAAAAGTCCGAGCAGCTGTCTAAACCTCTAACGAAGTCACTTTATGGCCTTTAAATGACGAAGATGACCTGACAAACCGTGACTCACTCACTCCCTCCCAGGCTTAACCTGACCTTTTTTTTGTTCCCCGAATGGATCGCTTCGCTTTTCGGTTCCTCGTTTTCTGCCATGTCTGCCAAACGATCATTTGCATGAGGCGTCGTCATGCCAACGCCACTCAGACGCCATCTTTAAAAGTTTATCACACGTCACGAGCTGGTCGATTAAAAAAAAGTGATGGAAAAACACGTTTACGAAAATGCTGCGCTGTGTTGCATAGTACCTCAAAGTGATACTTGAGTAAAAGTACAAGGATATTATCATAAAATTACTTTGGTAAAAGTTAAAGTCTCCTCTAAAAATATTACTTGAGTAAAATGTCTTAAAGTATCAGATTTTTTTTTTGTACTTTTAAATTTCTGGCATGAAATATATACTTCTTAAAAGTGAAAGTATTGAGTCAAAATGAGTGGTTAGATTTTCCAAAATACATTTATTGGGAGGTGACCTCTCCAAAAAGATTTTTTTTTTCTAAAAACATGCAGCTGTGATGGATTGTGTAAAAATTAATACAGTATCAGAATGGTGTACGTTTATACTTCTCATCCAACTACAATCAAATTCACTCTATCCTGGATGCAAAACATTTTTAGGTTAGGTTTTTTTCACACTAACAAGCCGAAACAAAATAGGAGAAATTACTTTCTACTTCTTACCTTTTTAAAAGTGTAAGGAGTAGAAAGTACACTGTGAAAATGTAAGGAGTATGTAGGGGTGACCCCGAGGGGGAATAAACATTTCCACCTGTCTTTGACC